GGGTCGGTCGGTAAAAGGCTTCAAGTGTTTTCAAGGATTTCCAGGATTACCCGTATGAACCCTGACAAATGGTTAGTCAGAACAAACAACACAACATCCCACATCGTCTTCAAAGCTGCCTGATATTCCCTTTGTTTACAAAGTATTTCAAACACATTCTCTTGTCTCTCCCTGTTGTGTTGTATGTACGTACACTCATCGCATCATCCACTAATATTTCCTCAGATATTAAATAAAAAAGTATTTGAATAATTTCATACCAGAAGATGGAGACGTCTTTGATGGCACCCCAGACGGTCGGACTATTTTGCTCGGGGGTTTGAGCCCGCTGACTTTGCCTGGTGTACTCATGGCTCCTTGTTTTTCCATGGATAGTGTCGGGGGGATCTGTGGGGTGTCGGGCCTGATCAAGGTGGGGGAATAGGCCTTCCCCACCACCCCACAAAGTCCCAATGTGATGTGAAGGGAACTGGAAAACAGAAAAAGTCCCATGAATCAGCTGAAACAGAAAACAACATTTTTGTGGAATGTCACACAAAAGCGCCTCTGTATCTTTCTGACCTCCTTCAGATCTACACACCCTCCCCGACTCTTAGATCCTGTTTTGCAATCCAGCTCACATCACCATCTGCCTGCTTGACTACCATCAGTCGTTCTGCCGCCCGCCTCTGGAACTCTCTCCCCCATGACATCACCTCCCTTTCTACTTCCAAATCCTGTCTGAAAACTCCTTCTCAAGCCGGCATATTCGGTCCGATTTAATGGTGACACACATATCGAGACTTGCACGGATGATGACTCAGTGATGATGATTTTATACCTCATTTTTATAATTGTAATAATAATAATAATCCCCAACCAGCGTCATCAGCATAGCAATTGAATTGAATGCCCAATTTTCTGAAGATATGGCCAAGAGGTACAAGACAGATAATAAATACAAGGGGACCTAAGACAGAGCCCTGAGGAACACCACTAGGAACTGGAAAAGAGTTGGATCTGAAATTTCTAATTTGAACGAACTGAGTACAGCCAGAGAGATATGATTTAACCCAGTCGAGAGCCGTACCAGTGATACCAGTGGTAGCTAGTCTCTCTAGAAGGATGTTATGTGAGATTATTATTATTACTGTTATTAAATATCAGTTAACGGAGATGGTTTTACAAACAAAAAAGATCCATTTCATGTTATATTCTGTTAACTGTGAGTCATATATTGCTGCCGACCACTTTCAGAGACTTAAACCTCATTACAGTCCATATTTTCTCAGCTAACTTTGTCAAAGATACCTTCATCGTGCTTGGTAATAGAAGCAGAAACTCAATTAATTAAACCTTCTATAAGCAAACATGGATGTGGCTGTTCCTGTCATTACAAAGTTCACTCTCAGTCTCAAATGTGATGGTTCAAGTTGTCAAGTTGATCTTCATCAGGGCTTCAACTAATGCTAATGCTAATTTTTATTGTCGATAAACCTGCTGGTTATTTCCATGATTAATTCATTAATTGTTTGGCCGGTAAAATTTTAAAAAATACTGAAAATTTGCCCATTGCTATCACAATATCTGTGTTTCGTCCAAATGCTGTCCAAAACTCAAAAACATTACATTCATAATCACATAAAATCAACGATACAGATCACAATATAGTATCTATTGTTTTAATGACTGTACACCTGTTTTCATTTTAAACCATTTTTAAAAAAAAAAAAAAACAGAAATTTACTGTGATAGTTTCTATTTCATAATTAAGATTTTTGACTTTTTAAATACTCTCTCTTTTCTCTAGTGTTTATTGTTACACAACAAGATACCAAGGATAATAATTCCCTGAATGTGAAAATAAAAAATAGCAGTAAAACTGATTCTGAGAAGCTATTTCCAGTGAATTTGAGGCACTTTTACTAAACTACATAAAAAAACTGAAATCATTCTTCTGTTGACCAACTAACCAATAATAAAAATCCACTGAGTCAGTAAAAGAGAGGGAAATACTTTTTATAGCCACTGTACTCCACCCATAACTACATCAGTATCTGTGAGAGCTGCTCCACATATTAAACCCTGCCCTGTTATAATGACACTCTCGAAACACCTCCTACTGTTAGTCACAACCCACTGTATATTAGCAAGCTATTTATCATCACCCATGTAATAAATGTGAAGCCCAGCTGACCTCGTGTCACGTTGTGTACAGTTAGACTCTCTAATGTTTCTACTATAACAGCCATAAAAAAACAAATACCTTAGAATTTATGGAACTAATGAAATGTAGTGAAGCTGATTTTCCACCTCAGACACTAAAGCAAAGTCAGTGGATATAAAAAGTCTACACACCCTTATGAAACTGCATGTTCTTTAAATGTAAAGACAAGAATCCATTTAGGAAATCCAGACAGAAAAATAGTTATTAGGAACATTTTAAATTAAAAAAAACTACAACACCCTGAGTGTATGCACCCTGCCCGGTTAATATTTTGTGGAAGCATCTTTTTGCATTTGTTAGTGTTGAGTCTCCGTTAAGTTTACACGTCTAGACTTAAGAATGTTGTCCCACCCTTGTTTGCAGATTAAAATTCCTTCAGATTGCCAGGGGATCTCCTGTGCACAGCTCTCTTTAGGTCATTACACATTTCTGATGGGACTGAGGTCTCAGCTCTGACTGGACCATGATTTTCATTTTTTGAAGCCATGCTGCGGTCAACTTGGACGTGTGCTTTGGGTCTTTGTCATGTTGGAATGAGAAACTCTGCTTCATCTTCAGCTTTCTGACAGAGGCCGGCAAGTTTTGCACTACAATATCTTGATATTTGGAGATATCATTATCCCGTCTATCTTGAAAAGAGCCCATGGTCGAGCAGAAGAGAAGCTGGCCTCAAAGCATGATGCATGCATGCTTCACAGTGGGTAGGGTATTCCTCTGTATTGTCTTTGAGCGAGAGCTGGCACAATATTAGATTTTAAATACAAGATTACTGTGGCGAAAAGTGTTCATGATAACAATATTATCCCGGTATATACAGATAATAGAGGGGGGAAACTGCCATCAGTCCAAATCATCTTATTGTGAGTTTTGTCTCTTTCCGTGGTGAATGAATTACACTCAAAATACAAGTGTAGGCTGGTGGAGAGTTTACAACCATAACTGTACAAAAGAGCAATTACAGTTAATGGTTAGTGAAAGTCAACCAGATGGCACTGGGGGAGGAAGACAAAGTGACAACAGAAAGAAATGTAAATGATTTAAGACAGTGGTTCCCAACTGGTCCAGCCACAGGGTCCAGATTTCTCCTTAGTCATCAGTTCAAGGTCCACACAGTTCAATACATACAGCGTCATACTTGTGTTTGGCCATGTCATCGAGCTAGTTTGCTGTCTCTAGCCCTTTTTAGATAGGAGTTGTGCAGATTTGCAGGAAAGCCCAATCAGTGTTTTTTCAGCATTGGCAGTATAAAAACAAAATCGGGGAGTGCAGCAAAATGCCGCCTACCTACTTTTGTTTATACAGAATGTGCCTTTTTCGGGGCAATGGGGGGCGTGAGCAAGTAACAAAACGTGTAGCTCAGCGTGTGACGTAAACAGTGACGTGGGAGGGAAGCTGCGGCTGGTCAGTCCTTCGGCGATTCTCTCTCGTAAGTCGGCCCGTCCTTCACCGTCCCCGTCATCTGACGGTTAATGGCCTCTTCGTTTGCGAGGACAAGGAGGGCGCGCAATTCCTTGTCTCCCCAGTTGCTCATCTT